CCCCCATCCTCCTAATCCCTAGAGAGTATTTCTGCCATGTGATCAACCTAGTGTTGATCAGTTAGTACCAATTTGATGGCGAGTACAAGTGGATCCCGTTCTTCTGCTCCTGTGGTGCCTCACTTTGGATAATGGGCTTAAGTTGAATCCAGGAAAGTATAAGAGGTGCTAGATCACTGTCATTTCTTATGATTGAGTAATATTCCATTGTAAACATATACCAAATTTTAATAATCCACTCATGGATTGACGGACACTTGGGTTGTTTCCACATTCTTGCAATAGTGAATTGTGCTGCCATAAACATTCGGGTGCAGATGTCTTTATCGTAGAATGTTTTGTGCTCTTTTGGGTAGATGCCTAATAGTGCTATTGCTGGATCGAATGGTATTTCTATTTTTAGCTCTCTGAAGTATCTCTAAATTCTTTTCCACAGAGGTTGCACTAATTTGCAGTCCCACCAGCAGTGTAAGAGTGTTCCTGACTCTCCACATCCTCGCCAGCATTTGTTGTTTTGTGATTTTTTGATAGAGGCCAGTCTCACTGGGGTTAGGTGATATCTCATTGTGATTTTGATTTGCACTTCTCTAATGATTAGAGATGTTGAGCATTTTTTTATATGTTTGCTGGCCATTATTCTGTCTTCTTTTGAAAAGTTTCTGTTCATTTCCTTTGCCCATTTGTTGATGGGGTTGTTTGATTTAAAACGCAATTCCTTTTACAATAGCCTCAAAGAAAATTAAATATCTAGGAATATATTTAACGAAAGATGTAAGAGACTTATACAGGGAGAACTACGAAACACTAAAAAAAGAAATTGTAGAAGATGTAAACAGATGGAAAAACCTACCTTGCTCATGGATTGGTAGAATCAATATCGTTAAAATGTCCATACTACCTAAAGTGATCTACAGAATTAATGCAATCCCTATCAAAATCCCATTATCATTCTTCACAGATCTGGAAAAAATAATTCTACGCTTTGTATGGAACCGGAAAAGCCCTCATATAGCCAAAGCAATCTTAAGTAAAAAGAACAAACTGGGAGGTATCAGTTTCCCCTCACTCCTTAAGAAGCTTCTGCCTTACACCAACACTGACAATGTGCTTGTCCCTAAATCTAGCAGAAAAATTAGCAACCTGTTATTTGATTTCACAGTGGCATGTGAATAGCCAGGAATTTATAAACAACGACCTTTACAGATCATCTTTGTAATCTATGATGGGCCATCAAATGAATGTTATTAACATTAATCTCTTTTGTTTTAATTAATTAATCCTGCAAATGAGGGCTCAGTTATTTCTAGCTTGTTAAAAACAATTTAATTATAATTATAATCAATGATTATATTATATGATTATAATAAATATGATTATAAAATCATACAGTCATTTGTAATTTTTTAAAATTTTGTAAGCTATAAACATTGATACCTTGGTGTAAAGTCACAATTACTCTGACCTAGTAAAAATATTCTGTTGACTATCCCCTTATTAAAATGGCCCCTTCGCTGAGACTCAAAGCCTCCACACTCTCCAGCTTGTGTTTCTCCCTCTCTGGGCCCTTCTTCCATTTGGGTACCCCTGACTATCGTCCAAACAAGGGTGTTCCCTGTGAATCTGTCTTGAGCTCTTTTCTCTTTTCATCAATATATTCTACTTGGGTATTATTATCCATTTCCATGGCATCAGCGCTCCCAATAAACTGATAAATCTCTAGTCTGTGTAAGTAGACCAGATCTCAGCAAACTGTGACATTCAGACTGTTTTAACTTTAACCTACAATAAGAAATTTTGCACATTTTCAATAGGCAGGTCACAGTGTAACGCTGTAATCATATTTTCACAATATAACTGCTACATTGTGATCCAGGCCATTCAGAGTTAAGGATAGAGAGGACTGAGATAGAAATAGTGATAAAGAAAGAGAAAGTTGTGAAGTAGGTTTCAGACCTACTTCAAACAGACCTCAAAACATAAAGGCTTGACTAAGAGAATGTATTTCTGTCTCACATGAAAGTCCAAGCTAAAGGAGCCTTTTCTGGCTTGTCGTTCTGCCTTCCTTGGCACCTGGCTTCCATCTTATGCTCTGTGACAGAAGCTCTGACTGCAGTCATCACGTCCGCATTCCAGCAGGGGAAGGAAAAAGGGGAAGCACAGAACTTCGCTCTTCCTTTGTAAGCCATGAACTAAAAGTGGCATATAGCACTTCCACGCACACTCCGATCACCAGAACTGTCATATGCCATACTCAGCTTCAAGAGAGAAGCCTAGGAAATAAAAGGTCACTAACAGGGCAGTCTGCACCCAGAACTCGTGAGTTCTATTATTAAAAGCAGAATTGGAGAAGTGGTAACAGGAAACAACCAACAGTCTCTGCTGGACATATGTGAAACAGATATTTTCTGAATTAGTATTTTCACTTATTCTGTGTGATACATTGTATTTTCTATTTTATTATATTATATTTCATTTTTTAAAATTGTGGTTATGACTCACAGGTCATGATATCATAACTCACTGTAGATGATGACCCGTAAT